CGTGCGCTCAAGACTTTCTTATTTCATCAAGCTGGCCTGACCTAAATCTTTTCCCCTTTTAAATGTAAATTTTAATTTGTTTTTAAATTATTGGGTATTTTAAATTCGTCTCAGCCAAATTATTTAATTCGTTTTTATTCTATTTTAAATTTTTGTATTTATGTGTTTTATTCTGTGCCTGTTCACCGCCCTGAATCCTTCGGGAGTAGGGCGGTATATAAATTCAATAAATAAATAAATAAATAAATAAATAAATAAATAAATAAATAAATAAAAAATTTCTTTAGTTAGGGCAAAGCCTAAATTTGTGGGTACTCTCAGAATGCTATTTTAATGTAATGTATGGTATGTGAGTGTGTGTGTTAGGGGTGATACCGAGACCATTTTCAAAACAGTTCAGGCAAAGAAAGGTTTCAACCTTCTTAACTTCACTAAATTTCCCCATCAACTTTGCTTCCGCGAACCCCGAGAACCGCCCGCCAGAAAAACTCGGAAATTTTCGATAGGAGCCTTTCGGTTGGGGAAAAACGAAGAACGCCCGGTTGCTATAGAGACGCCCGCGCCTAAAGGCTGGCCAATGCGGGTCGGCGGAGAGGCGGAGCTCGCGCCGTCAAGGCCGGCTGTGGGAGAAGTTCCAAGATGGCGGCAATGTAAACAAGATCCGGCGGTAAGTCAGGCTGGGAATTTGAGTGATTTTTTTTTTATTGGGGGGGGGGGGGGTGGGGGAAACGAAACTCTATGGTTTTAGGGAACCAAGAGAGTAAGTTGCCTGGGCGGTTTGGTTAAGGCAAAAGCGGCGGTTTTGCACAGATTGTGTATCCAAGCCGTCTCGGTGGCAGACGCGGGTGTGCAATACGGAAAAGATGAGCCCGGCTGACGACGGCTTGTTCTGAAAGAAGCGCCTTAGAGGCTGCTGGCGTTCCTTTCCCAAGTCTGAACCCTCCTTTGTGACGAGAGTCCTCGAGTTTTGTCCTCCCTCTTTCTTTTCACCCTGGTTTTCCGTTGCTTTTATTGATTGGTCGGTGTGTTGGAGCCATTCAAAGGCCATCGGCGAGGTTCGAGTAAAAGCCGCCAACGGTTGTCTGGGGGAAAAGGGAAATTGGCGTTTAGGTGAGGCGATGGTTGTGCTGCTGCTGTTCTGTAAAAGGAAACTAGATAGAACGAATTAGACATCATCTTCCACTGTCTTCTTAGCATTTCACACTGACTGCATAACATTTTGCGTAGATAAATTGGTGAGGGATTTACCTGCATTGGTGGGATAACCTGCATTGTGGGATAAACTGCATAGGTTAAATCTAGAAGGGGGTGCAATCCAAATGCTGAACCATTTCACACTATAAGGTTTGCTGCAATATACAAAACGAATATATCTATATCATATATATATATGTGTGTGTGTGTGTGTGTGGGTGTGCCAAGATAGGCCTTTATGTGTATTTGTCTTTAGCCAGGTTCTTCCTACATAAACCAAGATTTTATGCAGCCCTAGTTCAGTGAAATCACAATCCACTAGTTTTCTAGGCTTTTTTCAGGCAGCCAGCAAGCACCCTGCTGCCCATTGGGTAGTCTCCTTAGTCTCCCAATGGGCAGCAGGGTGCTTGCTGCCTGCCTGAAAAAAGCCTAGAAACTAGTGGATTGTGATTTCACTGAACTAGGGCTGCATAAAAACCTTGCTTTACGTAGGAAGAACCTGGCTAAAGATATACATATCTTTAGCCAGGCATATAAATCAAAATAATAAAAAAAACAAAGTGTGTAATGGAAGAATGTACGCTTGACGATGGCTGTTTTATAATTTTGGACCAAGACCTGTTGCAGTCAATGACAGAGTAGTCTGGAAATAAAAGGAATGCTGATAAAACCTTTCCTTTTCTGCTTTGAAAACATTAAGGTGTTTTCCTCCCTCTGTTGCTGATTATTTCCCTTTCAGATGGGCGTATAAAATTGTAATACCATGAATTTAATGTTGCAGATTGATTGATTGGTGGAGGAAAAGAAATTTTAGTTATACTTACTCCATATGAGCATGTTTGCTCCAAAAACAGGATCCTACATCTGCTCTGTACCTAAGTGTAATAATGCTGGATTTATACCTCTGTGTAGGTTTGCCCTTATAATGAGATTTGAGGCAAAAAAGATAATGTTCTTGTGTGAAGGGGTGTAGACATCTTTATATTCAGGTGTTGCTTTGCTTCTGAAATGTTCATAGGATAATGTGGTTTGATGTCACCTATTGTAATCTGTAGCTATCCTTTTGCATTCTGTGTATTTATAGGATTAGAAAACATCTTGAAATTCTAAACTGGTAAAGTGTTGATTTTTCTTCAGTGAAGCATAAATAGATGTATATTCAAGTTGTGTACCTATCAGAGACTCTTTAACAATAATACAAATAAGTGGTGAATAGGAAAACATAATAGGACAAATTTTTATATAATTGTTTTGTATTGTTTCACTTTTCTAAGTATATTCAGAGTTAGAGACTATCAAGATTCAGCAATACATAATTTTATATACATTTATCAAGTTTAATAGAAATCATTTGGGTTTAAGTTTATTCTTAGTAATGCTACACATGTGAGAAACGCTAACAATTAAAAATTCCATTCAGAAGTAGTAAAAATCAAGAATAAAATTAATGTCTTGTTTCGTATTATGGAACAGAGTAGGAAAGGATTTTAGAGCTCATCTAGTACTTCTTCCTGTTCAATGCAGGATCCTGACAGGTGACTATCAAGCCTCTTATCTGGAGATCTCTAGTCTATGTACCTATCTATCTATATCTAGACTGCACCATAATCTTATGTAATTAAAAATTACCAGAATTTGAGTTTTCTAAAATAAAACATGTAACAAATGGAGATAAATGTTTATAATGTTGCTGTTATAAGTAACAAATATTGAGTTGAGTATTTGTTTTTAAAAGAGTAATAAGAAAACCAAAATGTAGAAATAAGCAAACAGAAAAACATTACTGTAAAAATAAGAGATAAGTCATTCAAAGGAAACCACCAAATATTTTAGAGAGTGCGGTATGGTATTTGTTTATTTGTTGGATTTACATAGCACCAATCTGAACAGTTCATAATGGTCCATAATAACAAAATAGGGCAATAAAAATAAAATATAACTGATAATTCATAAAACAAAACAAAAAAAATCAGTAAAAACAATATAATGCCTCATCTGTAAGCACCATCAACATAGGTAACCTTAAATATTCAACACCATGTGGAATGAATTAGTCTTTGTTAATTTTACAATTTGGGTTAAAATATGTGCCAGTGTAGCCTGAAAAAGAGGAGGCTATTTTATAAAGTGAGTTCCATAACTGAAAAATACTCCCTTCAATTTCACCAGATAACTGAGATGAATAGTTGATAGCATGGTTTTTCCTGGAGAAGATGGTCCTGATGGAACTCAGTTACCAAGCTAAGTTGAGCTTTAATGGTCTGAACCAACACATTGAACCCTATAAACTACCAGCAACCAATGCAATTTCTGCACTATTGGTATAACATGAGGCAGGTGTCCATCTTCTATCAGTATTTTGCACCAAATGTTTTTGAGTAGTTTTCAAAGATTATGCTGTGTTGAACCCTTTGAAATAGTCTAGCTTGGTGGTGATGAGGCTTGGCTACTGTCACTGGGCTCAAGATATGACTACAACTGGAACATCTGCTTAAGCTCGATAGAGGCCTACCTGGCCATATTCTGTGTCTGCCCAAAGAATTAGAGCTTTGCACAAGGATAGCCACAGATATTTTTCAGAGAGAGTGCCATACCATTCACAATTATAACTGAAACAGGCTGAGCCTTAAATAGCTTTCTATGTTCATGGAACAATACAAGGTATTGAGATGATATTTTCCATTCTGTATTTTTTGTCATCATCCATATTTTTTGTACCACACATATACATAGGTACACATAAATTGAAGAGGAACATCTAGAACAACTACAGTATATGTTTTGTTTGAAAAATTGGTCAATCATCATAAATCCATCTAGGGAAAATATGCAATTGCCAACTTTTATACCGTGTTTCCCCAAAAATAAGAGCCTGTGTTATATTTTTTTGAACCCTGAAATAAATGCTTGGCCTTATTGCCATGCGCTCAAAAGCCTCATTGGGTTTATTATCAGGGAATGTCTTTATTTTAGGGGAAACAGGGTAAATATAAAGACAATAGCCAACCTTAAAACTTATTTATGTATAAAAACATTTCTGTACTATACCAAGTTCTTTACAGTACATTTGAAGACCAAAATAAAATTTTGTTTTTCATAACTTGAGAATTTTCTCCTTTTGGAAGTAGGAGATAGGCTTTTCTAGTGGTAGTGCTATTGAATTGGACATTAGTTGTCTTCTTCCAAGGAATTGTTAAAAGACTTCTGAAAATATCAGCAAATATTTAACATTTAATTAATTTCTCTTTTCAGTTACGTTTTATTTTAAATATATAAGCCATGTTGCCTTTTTCTTATTTATATTTCTTATTTTTATTGTATCTTTATCTTTTTTTCTATTATAGTGTAATAATTTATTCACAAGGTTGAGCTTGGATAAATTTTATATTGCACTGTATGATTATTTAACAAGTTTATTTAATAGAGAATGTGCTGTATATTTATTCAATGATTTCAAATGCATCTGATTTGCACTTGTACCTCTTCTTTTTAAAAAATATATAATATGATTCAAAATATTTGTTGTTATAACTGCTAAAACAACAGTACAAACAAATACTTATATAATATCACTATTTACTTGAGCACATTGATATTTTTTTAAATAAATTGTAGGGACTTTTATTGGAGGTCAATTTTAATGTCTTTTTCAGCTGTTTAAACGAAGCACTGTTATTTTTGTAATCCTGTATTTTTCTCAATCCTCATATGGCTAATTTATTCTCATATTCAATTTCCAATAACGAACAAAAAACTAATTTCCAATGATGAATAAAAATGGAAGACTGCAGTGCATCAAATTTTCCTGCTCTCATTTTACACTGGTAAAGATGCCCTAAAGATATTTTTAATAATTTTGCTGAAGATTCCTTCATGATGGTAGTCAGTATTTGATCTTTTCATTTGTATAGATGTGGAGTGGTCTGCTACCTCCTGGTGTGAATGAAGCTGATGTTGCCATAAGTTCAGATGATGAAGAAAGAGTGTCTCTTCCTGAGAGTATCTTAAATGAAAAACAAGAAGAAAAGAAATTCCTAGACAAACAGACTTGTGATCATGAGAAAAAAAATATGGCTGAAAACCAACTTCCTTCTGCAGAAGAACAGGAATGTCTGGCATGCCTTCCTGGAGTTCCCTTAGATATGTGGAATGTAGGTTTGTTTACAACTCTGTATTTAATTGAAACTGAAATATTAGGTTAGTTATTCCTGTTGTGATATCTAGGGACATAATCCTTCTGGCAAGAATAAATTAAATATGTTTTGAATGAAATATAATCCTTTTAAACTTTTCAGTTAAAGTGAAGAAATATTTTAATAACATTGTTTGACAAACTTCTGTCTTAAAGTAAAATTGGAAGAAGTTGTGATGAATTCCCTTTCACCAAACATGTAGGCACTTCAGTGCTTTTACAGTATACTGGAGTATTTTTTAAAATCTTTTTTAAGGTTTTCAAAATTGATTTTCTTTTTTATTGCTGTGTATGTATCTCTGTAGTAATGTTATGGAATTTTTAACTTGCTCATGAATGATTACTTACTATCTTCATTAAATGTATTTCACATTTGTTTGTTAGGCGTTGCATATTTTAAAAACAATTTTGAAGAAATGCTTCAGATATCATCAGGGTAGCATCTCTCCTATTCATTAAACATTCCATTTTTTTCTTCCACGTGAACTTGGAAGAGCTACTTTAACTTCAGAAACTCAGCTTCTTAGGATAGTGTAAAAGACACCAATTACACATAGAAGTTCAAAAGTGGCAAGTTTTATGGTATCTAGAAGCAGATGTGGCTGTCTTATTTATTATAGACAGCTGCTGCATTCACATTCCCATGTGTTCTGAAATGTTGCATAATCATAATGCTCAGTGATGTTATGCTTTTTAAAGGAGAAAATAGAATCCCATTGGCCATGCTTGCTTATATTAACTTTTTGGATCTTAGCTTTTATTTTAGAGTTTCAAAGTCAATGTCTAAAGAACGTCCTTACATAAAAAAGTGAACAGTTTCATTTAATAATATCAAGACAATCCTTGAATATATGAGAGCTGAATTGCGTATGTTCAGTGTATAGTGTAATCATCTTCATTGATTGTTTTGTTATGAATATTGTACTTTTTTGATATTGTGGATCAATTGAAATAATTTGTTATTTTATGCTATCCAACTTACAGTAATGAAACAAAAGTAAAAAAAAAAATCAATTTTCTCTTTCGACAGAAATTTCAGAATCTGAAAAAGAAAAACCTTGACATGAAAAATCAAGAAAAATGTCAAAGAGATAAGCGACAAAAGAGAAAACGTTCTCAAAAAGGTGGTTTGTTTCCAGTTGTTAAAATGTAGGGCACACTACAATAAAGTTTCCAAATAATTTGGTATTAGGATTAGGTAATTTTATAATCACCTTATTGATTTTATGTTATTTGGTTGTTATCTAGTAGAAAAAAAACATTTACTGTAGTCTAGTCCATATTAATGTTTGCCTAATTCCAGGTACTCAGAGAAGCTTTGGCATTTTTTCTAAACCACAGCCTACTTGCAGTAGAACAAATCATGATGGAATTTATGAGAACTTTTTCTAAACTCTTTTGGATAAGGCTAGAGAAGTCGTTCATCACAGAAAATATTCACATGCATGAAATAGATTTATGCATTTTTGTTCATTTATCTAATTTTGCATGTGGTATTTACAGGTGATATCTTATGTTCTACCATGGAGTATGCTGAAAGAGAACAAATATCAATGTCTACACTGCGATTTTCTAAATTTTGATCTTTTTCACTGTTAATTATATTTCAGACATTCTTTTCTGTGTTTTAATGGTTAAACATATAGAATTTTAAAAAGGACTCTTCAGTTGTGGCTTTTGATTTAACATTTAATTTATTTATATGCAGTGCTATTAATCTGGTAATCTAGTGATTCTAGATTCCTCAGCCCCAGGAGTTCTGGGCTACAGTGGACTATGCAGTTTCACATATTTATATTGTATATTGCATTCAAATTAGTCTGAACCTTTGTACTAGAAACTTATTAAGCTGATTTGTTTCTGTAATTATTCTGTTTTGGAATAATACTACCTTTGGTAATACCCACACATTGCTTACACAGGAAAGTTGTAGTAAGTCATTATGACTGAAAATATATATCTTCAGCGGTTAATGACTTGTTCCCTGATAGTGCCCTTAACTTTAAAGGGTTTACCTCATTCACACACACCTTTCTCCAATTATGAGGTACTCTTTTGACTGTGTCTTTTATTTATTTAATAAATTTTGCAAATTTATTAACGAAAGCACCAGGAATAATTTTTCTACAAATTATTTGGCTATAGATGCAAAGGCAATGTATAATGAAACTGATTCTGCCATCAGTCCCAACCTTCAAAATGAAACAAAACCTACCTCTGGTTGTATCATTCCATCATTGTCTTGTCTCTTCAGCCATGTGAGAAATACTGTATTTGTCAGATTTCTATTGTAGCTAAAAGTAGTCCTTCCACCACTAGCTTAAAAACCACATACAGCATAACATACTATTCTTCAGATCATATAAGCTTTAATTCCCTCTAAACTTAGGTATCAGTAAATATTTGTGTTTAGTGCTGTGGAAGTAGACTCTGTCTAAGCTGGGATTTAATTTTAAATTTGGTTTTTCACTGTTAATTATATCACAAACATCACTGATTTCATTATGTTTATTACTGCATCAGAATTTAGTCCTAAAACATTTGTATTCGTTCATGAGGAATTTTTCATACTAAATTTTAGAATTTGATTTTTTTTAGGTAAAATGAAAAGCCGTGAAGAAATAACTGAAAGGTATTTCAAAATATGACATGATTATTTAAAATTTATTTTTACATAGTCAAAATGTTCAGCTCCTCTTCATTCTCTTTGAGTGATTAAACAATGGATTTTTGTACAGATCCTTTCAAGATCACTTGATTACTTGAAAAAAATATTACTTCTGCCCATCTGCATAATAGATATGCTTTTGTTTTCATAAAATAGGTATATTCTTTTATATCAAATATACAAATGTAAATAAAATTGAATTGTATTACATCACAAAATAGAAGAATATACAGTTTCTGTAAAATATATACTAATTCTTTACATAAGCCAACAATAAAATTATTAATTCCAATGTTTCATATTATAAAATATGTTACATATTTATATATGTGACTATTTTCTTGTGATGGGATCTAGTCCAACTATTTTCTTTTTTTCTTTCTTTGTAGCCAAGAGTCTGTAAAAGAAAGACACTTCAAAGAGCTCACTCAATATTTTGGAATCAATGATAGGTTTAAACCACTGGAAAGCAAGGAAACTACTCAAAAGGTGATTGCTAGATTTTTTTAAAAAAATTGATTTTAGGCTTGCATTTCATTTGCATTTCATTTCACTGCAATTACATATGAGTGCAATGAATATATATTTATTATTTATTAATTATATATGTTGCCCATCTCACTATCGAGACCTTGGGCAACTTACAGTATCAGAAATAACAAATATAAGGTTAAATATATAGTAAAACATTAGGCATTAAGAATTAAAAAATTATTATTATTATTATTATTATTACTATTACTATTACTATTACTATTACTATTTATTAAATTTATATACCACCCTACTCCCGAAGGACTCAGGGCGGTGAACAGGCAAAAGATAAAATACACATAGTACAAACGTTAAAAACCATATAAAATACATTAAATACTTTGGCCCAAAACAAATTTAAAACACCCCAATTTATAAGACAAATTTAAAAATAGCAATGTGTAAATGAGGTAAGGTGGAATGTTATACATATGCATGCCTACACACAGAATCCATGTAACTTAGCAGCCATCAATTACTCATGCTGATTGCTGTGGCCAAAGTAAAGCAAGAATGGGGGAAATAAAGTCCTTATCCAGGTTGATCTTGTGCTCTTGTTTTGGACTAAGAATGAGTATACAATCTTCTGGTGTTCCATGGTCAGTGATAGATGTCAGTATAAAATGTATATATTCATTTAAAACTTTCACTTTCACACATAAATTGGAAAAACTGTCATTTTATGGATCAGTAAGAAAAAAAGAAAAAACCCCACTTTCAAGCTCATTTAAAAAAGATACAAGTAAAAGAATGATTTTAGAATGACATAAGAATGATTAAGGAAAAAGAAAGACAAGATTAATCAGGTACCACTTCTTAATATAGTATGGGTCATATTGGTTACATAAACATAATTATTCTTCTAATAAACTTAAATTCAGTGTTCTATTCTTTTTTGCCAGTTATTCATCTATGCTACAAATTCAGTAAAGATAAACTAGAGTTTTAGAGATAAAAATCTGACATTCTGTTAAGGTCCTTGATTTGCATTTATGTTTCTTTAACGATGATTCAGAGTTACAACTGCACTGAAAAAAAGTGGTTTACAAGTATTCCTCACAAACACATGGTCACAATTCAGGGACTTGGAAATTGGCATATATTTACAACAGTTTCAGTATTCCTGGGACATGTGATCATCATTTGCAACCTTCCCTGCTGGCTTCCGACAAGCAAAGTCAATGGACAAAACCAGATTTGTTTGATGACCATGTGATTCATTTAATAACTACAGTGACTTGCTTAACATCCATGGCAAAAAAGGCCATAAAATTCAGTACAACTCACTTAACAACCACTTTGCTTAGAAAGGGAAATTCTGGTCCCTGTTGCAGTTATCGCTCAAGGACCATCTATTCACTTGTAAAATCTTAAAATAATTAGGATTTGCTGCTGATTTTTTAAGCTTATTCTTAATGTTTGATTTTAGAAATTAAAAGTTTATCCTTTACCTACATCTGACAATTTACAGGATAAATGAGAGGTGGCATTTTGGAAATCCACTTCCTTGATGAATATAAAAACTAAGATTGCAAAGTTACAATAGAAATTACTATTTTTCATGCAGTTGATGCAAATATACCATATTTTCTTCAGGAAAAGAATTGATGAATCAGACATTGAAATGAAATATTAAGATAAGTTTAAACTAGTTGACATTTTTAAATGCTGAATTTATTCAAAAAGTAAAATGAAAATAATACAAAAGTTTGTTCTTATACAACAGTTCTGTAGCTATCAATAGGGCAGGCTATTCAAATTAGAAATTAAAACCCACTTACAGTCAGATCTGCTTCCAACTTGGATGGAAAACATTCCAGGACTACTCAGTAAGCTTTAAAGTTGGTAAGAATATCCCAAAAAGAATATCCTAATTGCAAGCTACTCAGGGGCTTCTTTTGATAACAAAACTATATGGATTTGTCTTGGAAGTTAGCAGAGTTTGAGCCCTACTCAGTCATAGCTTCCTAATCTACTTTCTTTCTTTCTTAATCTTTTGCATGTGATTTGCTATATATGAAAGTTACAGGTGTGAAGTTCATATTATTTTGGAATTGATAAGATTTTTTAAATACATTTTTATAATGTTCAGTTAAAATTCTAGGAGGACCATTCATTTTTCTCTCTCTTTTTGGTATGTTTTCTAGTCTGGCCTTGAAATCAGTATAGACAAATGTGTAGCTGAAGGTAATATTGCTCAAGCTGAGGAATTAAGTGATAGATTAGCTACTCGAGAGGTAAGTTACAATTTTGCTTTCTTTCAATATGGTAATAAATATTATTAGACAATTTGCAATTCTTTTATGGAATAGTTTTTAAGTTACTATTGTTTGGGAATTGCGGGAGTTATTTGGGAAATCCTGTGGATATATTTTATTTCTTAATTGCTTCTATTGCAATTTGTGGTGCACAAGCCTGGAATAAATAAATAATGTGCCAGAATACAAGAAACAAGTTTTAAATGAATACTTGGATCCAATATATCTAAAGGCCATATGGCCAAGTTGCTCTTCTGATCCTCCTCTAGACACTACTTCTTGCTAAATTTGAATATGCTTCAGTATTATGGGGACCACTGGTATAAAATTGGGAAATGGCAATATATATTGAGCAGTATAAAGTGAAAAAAGAGTTTTTAGTATATAATTTTAGGATTCTTATAAGTGTTCCATAATAATACAAAAGATTGAGGCCACCCTGATTTAACTCTAAATTAAGAAATCCTCTTTACAATCTGATGTCACAGCCTATAAATAAATTACCATAACTGTAATAGATTTTGTTTTTGTATTTAAATGGTAACTCTACTATATTTTATGTATAGTTATCAAATCTATATTTTTCATTAACTGTATTTTACATGAGTTTATTAACTAAACTAATTTTTCAATCTTAATTGAAAGACTGTATAAACCAGTAAAAGATAGTATCAAGGTACAAAGTAAAAGAATACATCAATAATCTGTGCTATTATTCATCGAGCTATGATTATTTAATTGGATTGAAGAGGTGAAGAATTATATGTTTGACCTGATTTAGAAGGATAGCAGGTTTAATGAGAGAAAAACAATCAAAGGTATTATTTGGGAATATAATAAATATATTATTTTATTATGAACTTGGCAACTAAGAGGGAAGGTTTGATATTGTTTATTTCCAGCCTTTTTTCTAATTAATTATCAATATTACTATAAAGTATAATGCAGGTGGTCCTCTATTAATGACTATTCATTCAGTAGTCAACTATTGAAACTTATGACAGCAATAGGTGAATGAATGGTAGTTATGACTGGTCCTTAGCATTCGGGCCAATGCAGCATCCCTATTGTCACATGGTTGCAATTTTCAACTTTCCTGTCAGTGTTCCACAAGTAAAGTCAATGGGGAAGCTGAGATGTTTTGAGTTGTATGGGGTCCTCGCATAATAATAGCTTCCGGGACTACTAGTATTGCCATCACTAAATGAAAGGGTAACATGACATCGTCCTTTATGATTGTTTCATTTACTGATGGCAATTCTAGCCCAAATTGCTTTTGTTAACTGGGGAATAACAGCCCTTATTTTTGTATAATTAACTTTTTGTATAATTAACATTTGAGACACATTTATTATTTTCTTTTATGGGTGGGATGAATAGACAGCAAGTACAGTTATTAATTGTTCTCTATTGATAATTCTAAACAAGGTTGTCAATCTCCTATTTGAGATTCAGTCATTTAAAAAGAATGTTTCCTTACTATCTTTGAAATTCCGAATTCCCAGAAATGTAATCAGTGGCCTGAATATTTGGTAAGATTGTTTGCAGATTTCTATTCTTTTTTTATTTCATATTCTTTAGGTGACCAAATTCCAACCTAAAAAAATAAAGGTTGACTACAAGTTACTAAGTATCACTAATGCTTTTATGTATTTTCCACTTAAAATAAATATATAAATTTCTTGGTATAGTTGTTTTCTTTTGAATTTGATGAATGAATGTTTAGGGGGTAAGTATTCTGTAGAGATCAGGTACAGTTTTGATCACTGATATTTTCCATTCTCAAAAAGCAGTAACGGGAACCTGCTGATAAAGCCTTTGCTTTGAGGCATGGATTCCAGGATGCTTTAAAATGTTTCCTTCCGTAATAAGTGAAACTAATTTTGATGTATAACATTTATAAGCCTGTGAAACAGATAGAGCAGCATGAGTATTTAAAGGGGAAATGAGGCCAAAAATAAAGAAATGGCTAAGAGAAGCTATGAAACATGCCCTGAAGAGCTAAGCAATGCCAAAATACAGCTGTCAGTGTACTATCATTATGTCACAGTGAGAACCAATTTTTATGGAATCAGGTTGCCTGGGAATTGAAGAAATTGTAAATAATATACATAATCCAATAGAAACAGCAGATTGAAACATGAGTAACTTTATTTTACTATGGTGCACTTGATGCAGTTACATTTTAATACACCTGACAATCCTTTTTGGACTGTTATTGTTATTTTGATAATAGTATTGCTAGGATATAGAAATGAATATTCAGAACAGTTTGGGGTGCTTTTTTTTTTTTAACAAGTGTGCACTTTTCTTTGAGGTGTCAGGAATTATGAGAATATTTTATTTAATTTCTTCCTAAAGTGAATATTAATAGACTAGTTTACGATATTCTGTGGAAAAACATGTTTTTCCACTAAATTACTATTATATGGCTGGTACATTTTGTTATATTTCTGTGAATTGCCAACCAATAATGCTTACAAAATAGTAAGATAAATATCAGATTTGTTGATATTTTCATTTTCTGTGTATCTTTGTAAGATTTTGAGATACTGTAATGGTTAACTATTCGATGAATATCTTCTTCAAAAGCTTTTGGGGAACCTACTGTATAACAATGTTTGCTGGTTTACCTGTCTTCATGGTCAGTAGTGCTTTTAATATATTCTTTTTTCCAAATTTTATTACATACTACAATATAGAGAAAAAAGCTAATACAAACTACAAAAAATAAAGTAGACAGAAAAAGTAAAAAGTGCAAAAAAGAAAATGAAAGAGTAAAGAAAAGAAAAAAAAGGACTGTAACAAAAAATAAATAAAGAAGGAACTTCCTTCTCATTTCAACTAGTATAAACAATTTAAACAACATTTTCTTTTAAAATATAGGAAACAATCACTTTATTTCATATCCCATCTGTTATCAATAAGTGTATTCTTAAAACCTTGTCATTAAGCCTGGTCAACAAAAGAAGTAATAATGTCTGGTTTAACTTTGATCAAATAGACAAACATTATATTCCTTCCCTTTTAACAATGTTAATATTTAATCCCTTCAAGTAATGTCATAACATATCAGATATAGGTATGGTTCAAAATTGTGTTGACAATTCCAGGGGATAGTAGAATAGAAGACAAAGATTTGGGAAAAGATCTAAAAATACAGAGCCTTGGTGGCGCAGCAGACTAAAGCACCGTTAAGTAACCCCAGCTGCCTGCAATTACTGCAAGTTCAAATCTCACCAGGTTCAAGGTTGACTCAGCCTTCCATCCTTTCGAGGTAGGTAAAATGAGGACCTGGTTTGTGGGGGCAATAAGCTGACTTTGTATAAAAAAGAACACCGCTTGGGGGGGAGGGTGAAAGCCCTACCAAGCAGGTATATACAAGAAGTATGAAGGCTATTGCTTAATGCATTGTAAGCCACCCTGAGTCTCCGGAAAAGGGCAGCATATAAATCGAACCAATAAATAAATAAATAAATAAAATTGGTATCAAGATATCAAGATCTGAAAATTGAAATTAAATGACTATGATGTTAAAATGGCCATGATAGTCCCAGTGGTTATCAGCACACTGGGTGCCATACCCATAAATCTTAGAAAATCTACCCATTGACAAAATTTCCATCTATCAATTGCAAGATGCTACATTGCTTGGATCTGCTCGTATAATGCACCAATATATTATGGCATCCTAGATTCTTGGAAAGAATTTGAAACATCTGAAAGCCAACATCAATTAAACAAGCAGCTGTGACTTCACATTATTGTGAATATTAACCTTCAGTAGGCAGTACCTTAGATGGTTGTGGGGCATTTGTATTCTGAGGAAGATGAGAGCTAGAGATTCAGTTATATTGGACAGGTCTCATTAGAGGAGCCAAACAAAGAGTGTTTCTCCCATAAGCAATATGGTGAGAAGTAATTTATACCAGATCAGTTGTCAGTTGGGTCAATAAGGACTTTGCTGGGTGTTCCTGGATATCGGGGGACAAATGAACTACAGGATTCAGGACTGTTGGTTGTCGAACAAGGACCAGCAGCGGTGGACTACTGGAAAAAAAGTTGTGTACCCGCCACAATGATACAAAGAATGAATACAAAGAAATAGTGATCTGTTATTAATATTTTAAAGAAATACTATCTGCCCACAAGCCAGAACTGATGGGAATAATAGAAGTAATAAAAAATGAAGAAGCGCAAGTATTCTGGAACTTTAGAATTCAAACAGACTTGCCACATAATACCTCAAATTTAACAATTTTCAATAAGAAAAATAAAAAGTCCATAAAGAGGACATTGCAGTACCAAGCTATAGTAGAATAAAAGACAAAAATTAGAATTATGGCAAAAGAAAACAAAGATAATAGTAATAGGTACTTTGTGTACAATCCCAAAAGCTCTGGAGCACCATTTGAATATCATTGGTATTGACAGAATCACTTCAGCCTGTTGCCCATTGCAAAAGGCAGCTTTATATGGAACAACCTAGATCTTGGGACAGTATTTTTAACACCATCAAACAACATCTGCTTGTCACAGATTTTTGAGAAGGACTCCATGGTAGATAAAATGTCATATTCAATCTAAATACCTGCTTGACTGTGCTGCTAACCATAATAATAAGATTATGGTCTTTGGTGTGTTGTTAAAGTGATGTCCTAGAAAGCTAGTCATGCATTAACTATGAAAACCAGCTGGATGACTTTGGGCAGGTCACCTTTCTGTAGCCCAGTCCACCTTAAGGTTTGTTGTTGTGGGTAAAATAGAAGTAGGAAGGAGTATTCCAAATATTTGTAACCTTGAATTACTTATAATAACTAGAGTAATAAAATAATACAGGCAGGATAAAAATCAAATCTCTGGTGATCCCAGTGGTTATCAGAAGACTGGGTATCATACTAAAAGATCTTTGACAGCACTCAGAAGATCAGCACATTGACAAAATATCCATCTGTCAATTACAAAATACCACATTATTG